GCATAGTGACTGAAGCAAATCGGTGACATTTTTTATATTCAAGAGAGCCTTGTGGAAATCACGACAGTCCAGTAAATAATATTGGCCATCAGGAGTGTTTATTTCGCCCAGTGCAGCTTCTTTGCCAGGTGTGGAAGGAGACATTTCGGAATTTTAAATCCCGCTCCAGTTTCCATATCATCAGAGCCTATATTTTCGAGTGAGCTGCGACTTCGACGACTCCTAGATTTTACAGTAGAAATCTTAGATTGTTTCATTATGTTACGCTGATTTTGTTTGTAGCAGTGTTTTCTTCTGGTTTATTCTTGGTGTTTATTACTTTTGTTACTTTGCTTTGAGTTGCATTAGTTTAACTTTGTTTGTTCTTATCCGTATTATCCATTGGTATTACTTTGCTTAACCGTATTATCCATTGTTTTGATTTCAGTGAATTAGGAAACTGTACAGTGTGTCGCATCAAGATCGTCAAAACTCTGCATAGCCATATTCTTCGTTTCGTATACACAAAAAGTGCCCAAAGAATTGCAAAGAAAGTATAACGTCATGTCCGTCATATTGCCTATGGTTGCAGCATGACGGAGCTCCAGCAAATTTCAACGCTTCTCCATGTGATTGGCTGGATACGGAATACGCAGGGAACTGGGTTGGATGTGAGGTCCGGTTTTATGGTCGCCACGATTGTCACCTTCGTATTTTTTCCTATGGGGAAGTCTGAACGAAATGGTCTATCAAGACCTAGTTACTATAGAAACGACGTAGTTGCTCTTACTCTGCTGATGGGCACCACGCTACTGCTCTGCATCTCGGCGGATGCATGCCTCGATATGCGATGTGGGCATTTGAATTTCTTCTTATCTAAACACATGCAAATATGGATTATCATGTTTCCATTAATTCCCCCCCCCTTATATCTGATGCGACATCATACTTTTAATTTGCATTTATTTGGAAAACTATGGGTCGTACAGGTACAGTTCTTTGGGCATTTTTTATGCATTTCGAGCAATGAATCTGGCTGTACAGAGTTTGGGCTATCTTGAGGGGACATCCTGTATATGTTAGAGCGCTCTCAATTAGGAAACTGGTGAATATTTTACCACTTCAGTTTAGGATGTGCGGAAACCAACTATTTCAAATGTTAAATTTTGACCCCCAATGCCAAACGACTTATCATTCCGTTCTAAATCTTCTAGCAAAGTAATACGAACTCGAGAATTTTAAACACGGCTAACAAAGGCTAAAGACGATTCAACTAATTTACAAGAAGGGCGGAAGTAGCTGCAAAACGTTCAGCGGTCGTTTCCAAAACTCAGTCTTAACTCCAAAAACTCTGTTCTGATATACTTTACTAATTTACTTCCTGATGAGAGCTGAAAGGAAGTAAATGTGATAGCACCGACGATATAAAAAGAAAACGTGCTAATAAGCATGAAACCTTACAACGGACTTGTAGCTGTTATTAATTAAAGTGTAGAAAAGATTTTAATTTATAAAATTTCTGAATACGTATAGCAGTTAGGAACCGTAGCGAGTTTTTTAATTACTAATAAAAATCTGAGCTTTTGTTAAGCATTGGAATATTTGTATAGAAATTTTTATTTAATTCAAGGGCACTCACGATAACATGCTTGATACGTTAATAAGGACAACTTAGAACTCTCAGCGCAGGTGCGATTCTAATTTAAAATGTTTTAATGGTCTTTGAATGTAAGAAAATTTCTTTACCTTTTAAGCCAGATGCTGTGATCAAAATGTATCGGAAATTATTCCTTAAATTGCAAAATTTCAGTTTATTGGTTGATGTGTATTACATCCCGTTTAGAGTAATATCGTCTGACTGCAATACACTTACGTAAGTGTTTTTTTACCAATCGTCGAAACGTGTGTTAGCGTCGTTTTGCTTCAGTATCGTATCCTATCGTATCGTATCGTATCGAATACGGAGCTTGCGAAGCTCTATTTATTAAATTTTTGGCGCAAAACTTCACGAATAACAGGAGCATTGCGAGTAGGTGTATTTGTCATGATACAAATTTATGGATTTGTGAATTTTCCTTATTTTCATGGAGCCATTTCAAACGTCTCGCCATAATTCATGTCATATAATAGGAATGGCTTGTATCTTTTAGTCTTGAAAAAACATCTTCTAGGCAATTTGAATACTTGCTATTTTTGGAAAAAATTCGAAGTTTTTTTTTTTTGGAATAACTCGAGAAGTAATGCGTCTTCAATCCAAACGGTCATTCAAAATTATCTGACAAAATCCAGCTGATATAAGAGCTTTTCAATAATATTACTAACTATTAAACAACGATCTTTAAAAATCAGATCCCTCATCTGATCCACAACTACTTACTCATTAACTGATGTAGAAGGTCTTCACCTTATTCTCTGTCTTCCTCAAACATCTCATTCCAAACTCAAATTTATTTTTGATAAAGAGTTGTCCTCAAAGACTTCTTGCAACATTTTACGCATGCTGCCCATGTGTCTTAGGGAAAGGGCAGTCAGCTGCCTGGGTTCAAATTCCAGAGAAAATATAGATGTTTGTAGGTGCATAGAGTCTTTGCAACATGATAACACTTAAAATATTGTCGAGTTGAAAGTCCTGTCGAGAAGTTACTGGTAGGGAGAAGAGTGGTAGCAGATTCAAAGATCCATCATTTATCCTTAGAAATACGGAGAGAGCTTCCTCTTTCTCTCATTCTGATTATGCCTATCAGATAAAAAATCAACAGTTGTTTCCTTGCGGACTAAGCAAGATTTTCGCATTCCTTTACTTGATGGTATCTTACCAACTGATTAAATCTACTGGATTTAAATCTTTGAAGGGCGGTGGTTACCTGCAGTAACAACCTTTTCTACTGAACGTCTTACTTACTCGTGTGAGTGGTTTTCAATACTGACCGTTTCTGAGTTCTCTTTTAGCTCACTAGATGGCATAAAGAAATATAAGCCAATCAAGAAACATAAGCCAGTAGTTAACGCAGCAATTTGTCTTCAAGAAAATAAGTACTATTAGCCATCGAAGACAACATCACGACGATGTGCACACTCTGCAGCACCAAGAAAGAGGCCTGTAAGAAGAATGTGGGAATGAAGCAAATGCAAAGTTGCACTCTGCTTGAAAAAGAAAAACTGTTTCCTTAAGTACTGTAGAGACTGATTTGTAAGGAAGTGCTCTGTGGGCAGTGATCACTGACACTAACCACCAGAAGTGGTCCTTCTTTTCACACATCTTGGACAAAATAGGTGTAATTGTCTAATTGTCGCTAATAATTTCATTATTAACATATAGTAAATAAAACAAGAGGTTTGCTGAAAAAGTTAATTGCCTTTTCTTGCCCCGCTAAGAGTTATTTTATTTCAGAATAAATTCTTAGAATGTCATCATGGGAAATCTTGTGTGATGATGATTTTAGGAGTATCTCGTTCAATGCAATAATCCCGGACATTAGGCGATTTGAAATTACAAACAGTACAGTTTTTACTAATAATAATGTTTTATAAAAAGAAAAACAGCTCTGTGTTACCAATTGTATTTTTTCACAGAACTGTGCCGATTATTCTAACCTGTTGGCAACAACTGTATTCCTGTGGCATTCGACAATATTTGAAAGCAGTTAAGACAGAATTAATACCTTTTTTGGCAAACAATTACATATTTTGTTCGAAATTCTTTGAAGAGAATTATAATAATGACATACACTTTTCAAATGTGCTAATAATTTTGTTGATAATTTTCAATGAATATAAAAAGTGAAAAATTTTCAAATAATAATATATTCACTTATTTTTACCGCTGTATTAAAATGAATTTTTAATACATATTAAAATAACGAAACATGATTTTTCATCTCATTAATGCATTTGATATCCGTCTGTAAATAGAATATTTAGCTGAGAATTTTTGATTTAGAGGCGCATAGTTTACTATTAGGTTACTGAAAAATGTGATGAAACTTCATCTTTTCTAATTAAATTTTCATAGCTATGCAAAAGACGCATTTCTTATGTTAATAAAGAACTTACTTGCAGTTAGATACTAAATTTTCATCTCGCACTAAAATTTTATTTAGCTCTCAAATCTTTGTTATCTAATTTTCTAATTTTAAATGCCTTCGGGGAAAGAACTAAATGTGAATTTCTCTATTCGTAAATACAAATTGACACTGGGATATTCTTCTCTTCAGTTTATAAAGAATCTTCTATTAATAACTCTAGATATTTTGCTAGTCTATATTAGTATTGAAATGCAATTCCTAGATTTATTAAAGCATTATAAGTAACATTGCTTTTGAAATACTAAAGCAGAATACAATTTATTTCAAATGCATTCGCATCATATAATAAATATCATGAAGATTTTAATTAAATATTATATTAAATATATATAAAGATGTTTGATTATCCTAAAACGTACGAGCAAAAGCAATATAAATTTCCATACTTTTACTGAATGAAATAACGACTTGAATTTACAATAATTTAAAAGCAGGCAAAATAGCAACCTTAATTTGGCTGGAGTTTCCACTAACATTTATCGATTTCGAGGACAATCAGACACAAGTTCCTTAAGAACAAATACATTTTGCAAAATGGGAGGAGTGACGACACATTTATGTCGAAGACAATGGCTGGAGCACAAAGAACGCGAATGCACCGCCATCTGTCTATGAAAATAGTAATGAAATGGGAAAAACTAAAATATTAGAGTTCTAGAAGAGATAGGTAGGACTGGATTAGAATTTATGTTACTAACTAAAGAAGAAAATTTTTGTAAATGTGAAAAACTGTGTCTGATAATCCTCAAACTCGATAAAGTTTTATTCAAAATTTACTTCAAACAAAACTACTGCTTGTTGCCTAATTTTAAATTTGTCCGTATTTCTTCGAATTTGATTTATAAGAGTTTGTTGAAATATTTTACCTATGTGAAGGTTTGAGGTATAATCACTCGAAGGCATTATAATAGATATGTTTTTATCTACTTCTGTTAGATTCTGGACAATGAACTACCTGATTACCCGTCAGAAAATGTCGATGGATCACTTCTGGAAGTGCAAGCGCGGCTAAAATATAAACCTTTAGATTCGACAATCGTTCCACGCCCAGAAGCCAGAAAGGTCTCCAAATCAGACATGGAGAAACACAGGAAAAGACGGCGACGAAGGAGGAGAAAAGATAGGCGCCTTCCTTATGCTTGGGGTAAAGGTAAATCATACGAAATTTGGCATTCTTTTTTTCAGTAATTTTTACTTTATTGTACGAAGTAAAGGAACTACTGTAATCGTGAAACATTTCGGGTATCATATTTCAACAAAAATATCCATTTTGACCGCTCTCGAATCCATGTGAAAGATGGTTTTGAGCGACTTCTATACGTATGGACATAATAAAGGACTCTTTTTTTTCCCCCCAAACAGATTGTAAAATGGATTTTAAATGGATTCAGAAGAGATTTTCTCTTGACGCTTGTACGTAGGTACGTATGTGAGTGTGTCGCATAACCCAAACTAAGTAAATTTAGAAAGCTGAAATGTTGTATATGTGACTAGTTGTGAAACTGTCGTTTTTGTTGCAATTTGGTAATTTGCAGCGCCAATAAATATCACGTCATGGTGTTCAGAGTGGACGGGATCTTTCAAATACGCATATATATTTTTGAATTACGGGTCTGTTTGTAAATCTGAAGAAAAATTTTTTCACCGTGTTACAGGGCTTAGTGAGCTCAGTATTTTTCTTCTTATATGTTGGCAAAATGCGCATTTTTGCTTTAAAAATGATTGAATTATGCTGTTCCTATATTCCGGTTAAAGTTTTTATGCTTTTAGTTAATCTGCATTAAATAATTTTATAATTATCAACAATTTAAAAGTGTAGCTAAGCCTAACGTGGCGGCTATTTATTTACATTTAAAACTCTTAGTAGAAGAGTGAATTAAGTTAGTTGGTGCACCAACTTCAGTGTGACCAAAAGTTAACTTTCAGCTTTGTGCACTGAAAATTTTGTCTTTTCGCCCTCTGGCCGATTTGCTTGTTTTTGCCACAGAAGCTCTAATTTTAATTGTAAAAAAAAAAAAAAAAAAAAAAAAACTGCTTTTTAACTGTATTTGGTATTTCAGGTTTTCTGTATTTTATACAATTTTTAATGAACATGGAGTTTTTATGCATTTCCGCCTTACAACGAAGTTAGAACTGAATTGATTGAATGAGAAATATATCTAATGATATTCGAGGAAGTAAGTTTAAGTGAAGTGCAGCAAAAAAATGCATACAATATAACTGGGCACACAAGGAAGTCATGTGGTGTCCCCATCAGATTTTTCTTTCTGTACAACCAGAGAGATACCATTGTCTTAGGTTTAGACAGAGTGAACTAAGACCCAATCTTCTGAGCTAATTGCCATGCAATTTGATAAAAATTTTGCTAAAGTTTCAGAATGGTTACATATTTTATCTACCGTATACTTTTCTTTAATACGTGTAGATAAGATTTGCTTTCACAGGAGCTCTGTTTCATGCGTCCCTCTGAAACCGGAATTCACAGTGCAATATTTGGGAGCTGCGAGATTCCCTGGTACTGGAGGTTTTACTATATACCTGAGCTACCTCAAAGTTGATTTATGTTTTGATTCTGTGATGTCTCCAGAGTGTTTCAGTTCTAGCATTCCTTTTTTTTTTAAGAAATATTCTTGAAATTTCATGATGTAAAATGGTACATGCTCTAATTTAGGTTATAATTTTTTTTCCATTTCTTCAACATCAGCTCAATTTAACCTAAACTGATTATGTAAATGCAAGTTAGTAACAAATGAAATAATCCAATACCGAGTACCGCAATTTCAACCTAGTGTGGACTGAGGAGGTGACGAGTTATCGAAAATGTCGAAGCTTACGGAATCAGGGCTGGGCTATTTACAACTCATATTTTACCATGTGTCACTCTAATGAACATTCTAACATAATACGGGACAAAGGAAAATACCGCGAACACCAGGATAATTTTTAGAAGTTAAAACAAATTACATACAAAACTGAAGAATGACTAGCAGCTCTCTGAAGAAAAATACCTGATGAAGCTGGAGTGTCTCTCACACTCGTTTCGGACTCATTTCGTCTTCATCTCTCATGGAGCTCCGTTCAACTTCATAACAAAGACAACGGAAAAATAAAATATTCATAGCAAGATGTATAGTCCGACTGCGGTAAGTTGGCATATGAACTTGGAGCCTGATCAAGAGGCGTCATTTCAAAGCGAGGGTTACTTGCTTAGGAATGCTAAAAGCAGATGATGCCTGGCGACGGTACATTTTGGCGAACGATTCTTTTGAAACTGCTACATTTACGAATGATTATAACTTTATCATCAATTTTAAACTTCTAACCAAAAAAGAGGATAACAGTGCTAAATCGGGAAAGCACTATGGTTATGTTACTAAGGAAACAATTGAAAAGCAAAATGGCAAACATTTCAAATATACCATAAAATGTTTTGCACCATAAAAATCTTTGACTACTCTATGAGAATATGATAAAAATCTTTGAACAGGAAAATATTCGGTCATTCATAGCTACTGTTATGAATTTGACATGATGCGAAGCATTGCCAGAAAAATACGATTACAGGAGCAAGTCTACTTAACAGCAAGTCTACTTAACATTGAGGTAAATGGGGGTTCAAAGGGCGCTCCTACATCGTAATGTGCAAAGGTGGGGCAAATCTTGCGATGCATATGCGGGCGGGAAAAGACCGAAGAAATGCAGACAAGGGGAAAACTGCAGCGTTACACAGTAGGAGCGTCTTTTGAACGCATCGCCATTGACATCCTGGGACCTCCACCACGAACTGCTGATGGTAGAAAAACACAACCTCGTTTTCATTGACTATTTCACAAAGTGGACTAAGCGTGTTTTGTCTCTGATCAAGAGGCGTCTAAAGAACTAAGCATGGAAAAAAGCAACTTTATATCTACAGTCAGATCTCATGGCACAGAGGTTTAAGTCGAACTATCCTTCAATAACGTCTCCCTGATGATTTCCAGAAACCAACAGGTTTGGGACCAGAAGCTGTCCACAAGACTAGCTGCTATTCCCCATCCCAGAAGCTCTTCTATCGTGACCTTCGTCTGCCTTGTGATCTGTTGTTTGGTCGCCCTCCGGATGCGTCTTCATCGCCTAAGAAGTACATTCATGATCTCCAGGCATGGTTTGAAATGATGCACAGTTTTGCATGAGAGCGAGTCAGTTTGACGACGGAGAAGGGGAAGACCCAATACGACACGAGAGCTACAGGACTTCGATTCAAAGAAGGTCACAAGATGTGGTTACAGAATCCACTTCGTCGGATAGGGATTTCTCTTACACAAAAGTCATCATGTGACGATCCTTACACAGTCCTAAACAGGCTGAATGATGTCGTAGTTTGAATCCGTAAGTCATCATATTCTAAGCCTAAAATCGTTCATAACGACATGCTAGCCCCTTATGTGTATATAAATTCGTGAATCTTTACATTTATTTATTGATTTAGTATTTGATTTGCTGTATATTGTTTATTGAAGTTATTAGTTTAGTATTGCATTGATTTTCCTTATTTATAAGTTGGTTTTCCTGTCCAAGAATTGTACCGCCTGGGATGTGCAGTTTTTCGAAAGGGGACAGTATTATCAATTTTGTATAATACAGCATGAACGACATCAAGAAAACGAAACATTGCCGGAAAAATAAGATTACAGGGGCAAGTCTATTTAACATTGAGGTAAATGATATCTCGCTAAATCGGCGAGATAGTGCCAAGCTGCCGGCGATTTCTGCAACTAATTGGACTAATTTCTGCGACTTGTGGGCAGCCTTTCTACACATTAAATTCAATATTCATCCTTTCTGAACTTTCCTTATTTTTTAAATACATTTTTAAAAATAAATAATCCTTTATAACTCCAAAAATATTTCTTGGGATACCTAAGTTTTTAATATGACCCAGCAGCGAGGCCTATTGCACAGAATCGAATTTCCCCTTTACGTCAAACAAAACCAGGGCCACATGGTGCGTTTTCATTTTTTCTTTTATATTCATAAGAACTTGATAAAGTGCTCATTCCGCCTATCTGCCCTTTCTAAAACTAAATTGATAACCTGAAAGGCTATTAAAATAATTCATATTATATGATAGTCTATTTACAAGAAGTTTATCGTAAAGCTTAGCAAAGACTTTCAAAAGATCGATCGGAAGGAACCTACCCTTGTCTTTCGGTAACAAAACCAATGTTTCTGTTTTCCATATATTTGGAAAAGTACATAATTTTAAACATTCTATTATACGCAATCAAAAAGAATGAAGGGCATTCCACAAGCAATCTTTCAAATATAAAGGCTTCAATCCCGTCCAAGGTTATCTCTGAGACATTTAATGATTTAATCTCTTCATAAGTAAAATCTGTCTCCTCTTTATCTTCTTCAAAATCAACATCTTCAATACATTTATCTTGTTTTGTCTCATTTATATCCAATATCTCGTTAACATATAAGTTTCATCAATGGAAGCGGCCATCCCATCCTTATCTTTTTTAACTTTATTAGTGGCCACCTTAAAAAAATCTACCAAAATACTCTCTATTCTTCGTAAATAAACAATTCTTGTATTTTTTCTTCACCTGTTTGATCAACTTCTTATGCATAGCTAAACCTTTTTTATATTCTGTCTTCTTAATAACTATAATCTGTTGATCCAAATCCTTAATTTGAGAAATTTTTTCTCAAGACTTTTACTCTCCGTCTAAACCTATCTAATTCACATTCCACCAAGGAGTCATAACTTTCTCTTTAACCTTAACATCTCACATATTTCTACATTTGTTTCATTAATTATTTTCAACCTGTAGGATCACATCATTTTTTTTTTCAATGGTGGGCGCTTGCCTATGCCGGCATCAGCCAATCCTAAGGCCAGATGTGGTGGTCTCTTTATTATGGAGGCACCTAACAGGTGGACAACCTTTGCTTGCTATGAAGGGACAGACAATGTTTACATCCATGCCTTCTCCGAGATTCGAACCCGGGTCCTTCGGTATCACAGTCACGCAGCCCTAACCACTATACCGTCTGGGCCACAGGATCACATTGTAAGGATCTTAAGTTTTACTAACGTTTATTTTATTTTAAATCTTTACTATCACTTCTTATTTTCTACTTCCGGCCAGAATTATAAGCGTG